TCAACATTTAAGAATCCCCAGAGCCAGGGCGTGACAGTACCCCCCCCCCCCCCCCCCCAAAGGCGCGGACTGCGACCGCGCCACACAAACACAAGAGGGTAGGGGCCGGGTGGGCATTCCGCCTCGGAGGCGGATCCGGCTCCGGGCGTGACCACCACCTTTTCTCCACCTCCCCGTTGCGCCCCTGGTCTGGTCCCGCTGACTGGAGCTGGACTGGACACACGCACCACTGGCTTGGTGCGGGGAGCAGGAACGGGCCGGACCGGGCTGACGACGCGCACCACTGGCTTGGTGCGGGGAGCAGGAACGGGCCGGACCGGGCTGACGACGCGCACCACTGGCTTGGTGCGGGGAGCAGGAACAGGCCGGACCGGGCTGGCGACGCGCACCACTGGCTTGGTGCGAGGGACAGGAACAGGCCGGACCGGGCTGGCGATGCGCACCACTGGCTTGGTGCGAGGGACAGGAACAGGCCGGGCTGGACTGGGAACACGCACCACTGGGTTGGTGCGGGGAGCAGGAACAGGCCGGGCTGGACTGGGAACACGCACCACTGGCTTGGTGCGGGGAGAAGGAACAGGCCGGGCTGGACTGGGAACACGCACCACTGGCTTGGTGCAGGGAGCCGGAACAGGCCGGGCCGGACTGTGGAGGCGGACTGGAGGTCTGGAGCGGAGAGCTGACACAACCCGTCCTGGCTGAATGCCTATTTCCACACAATATGTGTGAGGCATCAGCACAGGACGTACAGGGCTATGCACTCGTACTGGCGCTACAGCACGTGGCACTGGCGCAGGATATACGGGACCGAGGAGGCGTACTGGAGGCCACGAGCGTTGAGCCGGCACACCCCGTCCTGGCTGCATGCCCATCTTAGCACGACACGAGCGTGGTGCTAGCACCGAACGTACAGGACTGTGCCGGAACACTCGCGGCACAGTACGTGGCTCCGCATAACACGGAGCCTGCCCAGTCTCACGCTTCCTAGCCTGAGTACGGGGAGTTGGCTCTGCTCTAACTCTAGGCTCCGCCAACCACCCTTTTAGACCCCCCAAAACATTTTCTTGGGGCTGTCTCTCGGGCTTCCTCCTCGGCCGGTACCCTCTGCGATGCCGCTGCTCCTCTCTGTAACGCGCCTCCACAGTCTCCTCCCAAGGACGGCGATCCATTCTGGCCTGAATCTCTTCCCAAGTCCAGGATCCCTTCCCGTCCAGGATCTCCTCCCAAGTCCAGGATGTCTGTTTCTGGACACGCTGCTTAGTCCTTTTTTGGTGGGATCTTCTGTCACGAACGTTGACTGATGACTCGTGGAACCAAGGCGCAGCATGATAAGCGTACATCTTTAATTAGTACTTAACACACGAACAAAACCAAAACAACAAACCAACGATACGTGAAGTCCTGAGGTTACACACACCAAACCTTTACGGATCAAGATCCCACAAACTAACTGGTGCCAACAGGCTGTATGGTCCCCAATCAGAGACAACGAGCTACAGCTGCCTCTGATTGGGAACCACCCTGGCCAACATAGAACTAAACGATCTAGAACAAAAAACATAGAAAACTAAACATAGAAAATCCACACCCTGGCTCAACATTTAAGAGTCCCCAGAGCCAGGGCGTGACAAGATTGCAAAATAGTTGGGAAGAGATTTTTGACGTACCGATCCCATGGCATAGTGTTTATGAACTGACACGCAAAACGACACCGGATTCAAAAATTAGAATCTTTCAATTTAAATTATTATATAAAATTCTTGCTACCAATAGAATGTTATTTATATGGGGGATACAATCTTCCCAGCTCTGCAGATTTTGCTGTGAAGAGACAGAATGATTAGATCATTTGTTTTGGTTCTGTCCATTTGTAGCTTGTTTTTGGACACAGGTCCAGGAATGGCTAAAGGATTGCTATATTTACCTGGAGCTAACCTCTCAGATAGCATTACTGGGTGATCTGAAAAGTCATAGTCAATCGATCAATAATATAATAATACTTTTAGCAAAAATGTTTCTTTTTAATTCTGTAGAAGCAATGAGAATAGAAAGGTTCAGAACTTTTGTAAAACATCACAGTACGGTTGAAATATATATGGCAAATAGAAATCCAATATGGATGGTGTTAGGAGATAGATGGGAGGTATTGAATAGAGTTGAAGGATGGGACTAATAACAAATAACAACAAATAATAACAAAGATAGCTAATAATGTAAGCATACTGTGTCCATAATAAGTATATAGGTTGTATGTTGGGAGCTTTTGGGAAAGAGCACATTTAGAAAGATATGGCATATAGAAGCAAACCGGATGGACATCATGAAAATGATCGGAGAGGTTGAGAGTAGAAGAAGTTCAGGAGCCAAAAAAATAAATAAGATATATATATAATATAATTATTGTAAAATTAACTGTGTCCATAAGGTGTAGATAGTAAGTATAGACCGGAAATAGAGGCCTGGGCATTGTTGTTCACTAATTTACTCCAAGTAGGGAAAGGATGGCTTGGTTGAAAAGTAATAAAGGGGAGTATATATATAAAAAACATGGGGGATAAAAAAAAAAAAAATGAAATTATCAGTCTATAATTTTAATGGTAGGTTTATTTGAACAGTGAGAGACAGAATAACAACAACAAAATCCAGAAAAACGCATGTCAAAAATGTTATAATTAAATTTGCATTTTAATGAGGGAAATAAGTATTTTACCCCCTCTCAATCAGAAAGATTTCTGGCTCCCAGGTGTCTTTTATACAGGTAATGAGCTGAGATTAGGAGCACACTCTTAAAGGGAGTACTCCTAATCTCAGCTTGTTACCTGTGTAAAAGACACCTGTCCACAGAATCAATCAATCAATCAGATTCCAAACAATCCACCATGGCCAAGACCAAAGAGCTCTCCAAGGATGTCAGGGACAAGATTGTAGACCTACACAAGGCTGGAATGGGCTACAAGACCATCGCCAAGCAGCTTGGTGAGAAAGTGACAACAGTTGGTGTGATTATTCGCAAATGGAAGAAACGCAAAAGAACTGTCAATCTCCCTCGGCCTGGGGCTCCATGCAAGATCTCACCTCGTGGAGTTGCAATGATCATAAGAACGGTGAGGAATCACCCCAGAACTACACGGGAGGATATTGTCAATGATCTCTTGGTGACCATAGTCACCAAGAAAACAATTGGTAACACACTACGCCATGAAGGACTGAAATCCTGCAGCGCCCGCAAGGTCCCCCTGCTCAAGAAAGCACATATACAGGCCCGTCTGAAGTTTGCCAATGAACATCTGAATGATTCAGAGGAGAACTGGGTGAAAGTGTTGTGGTCAGATGAGACCAAAATCAAGCTCTTTGGCATCAACTTAACTCGCCGTGTTTGGAGGAGGAGGAATGCTGCCTATGACCCCAAGAACACCATCCCCACCGTCAAACATGGAGGTGGAAATATAATGCTTTGGGGGTGTTTTTCTGCTAAGGGGACAGGACAACTTCACCGCATCAAAGGGACGATGGACGGGGCCATGTTCCGTCAAATCTTGGGTGAGAACCTCCTTCCCTCAGCCAGGGCATTGAAAATGGGTCGTGGATGGGTATTCCAGCATGACAATGACCCAAAACACACAGCCAAGGCAACAAAGGAGTGGCTCAAGAAGAAGCACATTAAGGTCCTGGAGTAGCCTAGCCAGTCTCCAGACCTTAATCCCATAGAAAATCTGTGGAGGGAGCTGAAGGTTCGAGTTGCCAAACGTCAGCCTCGAAACCTTAATGACTTGGAGAAGATCTGTAAAGAGGAGTGGAACAAAATCCCTCCTGAGATGTGTGCAAACCTGGTGGCCAACTACAAGAAAAGTCTGACCTCTGTGATTGCCAACAAGGGTTTTGCCACCAAGTACTAAGTCATGTTTTGCAGAGGGGTCAAATACTTATTTCCCTCATTAAAATGCAAATCAATTTATAACATTTTTGACATACGTTTTTCTGGGTTTTTCTGTTGTTATTCTGTCTCTCACTGTTCAAATAAACCTACCATTAAAATGATAGACTGATCATGTCTTTGTCAGTGGGCAAACGTACAAAATCAGCAGGGGATCAAATACTTTTTTCCCTCACTGTACATTGTCAAAGTAAACACTTACACGGAGTGGACAAAACATTAAGAACACCTGCTCTTTCCATGAACTGACCAGGTGAATCCAGATGAAAGCTATGATCCCTTATTGATGTCACTTCTTAAATCCACTTCAATCAGTGTAGATGAAGGGGAGGAGACAGGTTAAATAAGTATTTCTAAGCCTTGAGACAATTGAGACATGGATTGTGTATGTGTGCCATTCAGAGGGTGAATGGGCAAGACAAACGATTTAAGTGACTTTGAACGGGGTATGGTAGTAGGTGCCAGGCGCACCGGTTTGAGCATGTCAAGAACTGGAACAATGCTGGGTTTTTCACGCTCAACAGTTTCCCGTGTGTATCAAGAATGGTCCACCACCCAAAGGACATCCAGCCAACTTGACACAACTGTGGGAAGCATTGGAGTCAACATGGGCCAGCATCCCTGTCGATTGCTTTCGACTCCTTGTAGAGTCCATGCCCCTACGAATTGAGGCTGATCTGAGGGCAAAAGGGTGTACAACTCAATATTAGGAAGGCATTCCTAATGTTTTGTACACTTAGTGTAAAACAACAATGGTCAAATAAGACAGAAATATACTAGACTGTTAGTGATAAAGCAATACTATTGTATTGTTAATAGTGGTAATAATATTAACATCAATTACAAAAAAGAATAATAAAAATAAAATAAATACTGGTAGTAAGCTGACATCTAGACTTCTAGTGGTAACCTGACTTCTCTCTCTATCTGTCTCTCTTTTTCTCCCTCCCTCATTCCCTGTCTATCCCCTCTCTTTATTTCTCTCTTAATCCCCCCTCCCTTCCTCCCTAACTATATGTCTCTCTCTCTCTCTCGTTCTGTCTGTCTGTCTGTGGCCGTATCCCAGGTGAATATGCTCAGATGAGGCTGCGGATAGGTTTTCTGGAGAGTGGTATCTACGAGGTTCCAATCATCATCACAGACTCCGGCAACCTGCCCATGTCCAATACATCCTACCTGAGGGTCAAGGTGTGCCAGTGTGATCACCATGGAGATTGTGTGGACATGGAACGCATCATCGCAGCAGGCCTGGGTACTGGAGCCATCATCGCCATCCTCATCTGTATCATCATAATGCTAGGTCAGTCTGGTTGTATGCAGGCACACACACACACACACACACACACACACACACACACCATATCCCCACCCTCTTCTGCCTCATTCTCCTAGCAGGGTCTTCTTATAGCTACAGTACAAACGCATGCTACAGAACATAATCTATGTAAACGTTTGGCATCCCCAGACAGCAGCTACAGTAGATTACAGTAGCTACATTCAAAGCTATCCCTAAATCTGCCTACCCCAAACTTAAGCACCCCACTTTAGGAGATAAGTACCCCTCCCCCACTGCCTAGAACCCCCCCCCCCCCCCCCCCCCCCCCATGACAGCCTTTTGACAGCCCTCCACCAATCTCCCAAAGCCTCTCCCACCTACCCCCCCAGCCTTGCCCACCTACCCCCCAGCCTTGCCCACCTACCCCCCAGCCTGCCCCATATTGTACCCCATCCCCCCTTACCACCCAGCCTTCCCACCCCCTCCTCCCAGTCAATCTCTGAAAATCCGCCCAGATTATGTGGATCAAACCAGGCAATCGCTGATCAAGCTCCCGTCAAGCTTTAAAACTCCTCTCCTGATTCTCTTTACATGGCAGAGAAATATGGTTGAATTAAAACTAAAGCTGCATATCGTCTGTTTATAGGATTTCATCCTTACCTTCTTTCTATTTTCTTCTACCCTGCCTCCTTCCTTCCTCCCCATTTTTCTTCTCCCCCTCCCCTCATTTCTACCTCTCTCTCTCTCTCTCTCTCTCTCTCTCTCTCTCTCTCTCAATTACTCTCTCTCTCTCTCGCTCTGTCTCTCTCTCGCTCTCTCTCTGAGTGTTCTTGAGTGATAAGCGAATGTAGTGTAAATGTGGCCTTTGATGCAACATGCACTGGTGCTGATGTTAGCACTTTTAAACTGATCAAATGAAATGGTGGTGAAGTTCTAATTATCCATCTCCCCCTCCATCCCTCCCTCCCTCTCTCTCTCTCTCTCTCTCTCTCTCTCTGTAGTGATGGTGTTGTTCTTTGTGATGTGGATGAAGAGGAGGGATAAGGAACGTCAGGCCAAGCAGCTGCTCATTGACCCGGAGGACGATGTCAGAGACAACATACTGAAGTACGACGAAGAGGGAGGAGGAGAGGAGGACCAGGTAGAGTAAGCACACAAACACAGATGGACGCACACACTGATGGATGGACACACACACATACAGAGGAGGACCAGGTACACACACACACATGCCTGAACACACGCACACTAATCACGCTGCTAGCGTTAGCATAATGATAGCATAGCCGCTAGTCAACCAGCTGCTGATTTAGATGGAGAGTTAGCTGTTCGCTAACGATGGCTAGTTGGAGACAGGACAGTGCTGGGCTAAATGGGGAGGGGGGAGGCAAGGAGGATATACAGTGGACATGAGGGAGGGATTGTACACACACACTAACACCACAGGAGGCTGGTGAGAGGACAGCTCACAATAATGGCTGGAACGGAGTAAATGGAATGGTATCAAACATGGAAACCATGTGTGTGATCTGCTTGATAACATTCAATTTATTCCGTTCCAGCCATTACTATGAGCCCGTACACCCCAATTAAGATACCACCAGCCATCTGTGACTCACACACACACACACAGACACTCACACACACTGATGGACTGTAACATTGGGGGTAGTAGGACCTAGCCAACCAGTCATTGGATATTAATGGAGCTCTGAGAGGGGGTGATAAACATTTATCGCCATGGCGATGGCATGGGAAGTGGGGTTAGGGGCGAGAGGCCATCTTTCAATGCGATGGATGGTACTCCCCTCCCTCCCGCTGTTCGGGGAAATTGTTTCGTCGGGGAATCGGCAGTGCTGGGAAATGAACTGTTGGAGAGTGGAGCGGCTAGTTCCCCCTGATCACCCCCCCTGCTGTGGGATGGATTAGTAATGTCTGTCTGTCTGGGACCCCTTGTAGGGAGGGGCTATGGGGCATGGCTAGGCTGGAGACAGCTACAGGAGCAGTCACGCAGTCTGGCTCTCTGGTGCTAAACGGCTAGTATGGTACACTGAGGCCAATAGCAGAGGGTGCATCCCTATGGGCCCTGGTCAAAAGTAGTGCACTATAAAGGTATTAGGGTGTCATTTGGGATGCAGACAAAGCCTCTCAAATGAAAAACACGCACGCACCCACACTGCACGTTACGTTTTAAAGTGATAATACAATTTCATCAGCTTTTTGTGAACCTAGCCTACCATCCTGGTATCAAAGATTGAGCATGGTGAGCAGTGACAAAGCCCAGCTAAGTAGTGCAGTATAAAGAGAATAGGGTGCCATTGGGGACTCAGCCTGCGCCTCTTCTCCTCTGTCTGGAAAATAACAATATAGCCTAGGCCAGGGACAAACCCCTCTGTATTTATCCCGCCATTTCCTCTCCGCCTCTCCTGTTCTCTCTGTCCTTCACGTTATGGCGGCATTCACAGCTCTCCCCTGAAACCGTTTCAGTGGTTAACTATTGCAGTGAACAATGCCCAAGGTGGTTACATGACCAGGTTTTATTTTTATGTTTCATCAATGAATCAGACACTCAGACACACAACCTTCTCTCTCTCTCTCTCTCTCTCTCTCTCTCTCTCTCTCTCTCTCTCTCTCTCTCTCTCTCTCTCTCTCTCTCTCTCTCTGTCTCACTCACTCTGTCCCTCTCTCTCTCTTCCTCCTCTCTCCCTCTCTATCCCTCTCCCCCTCCACCACCCTCTCTCCTCCCTCCCTCAACCCTCTCTTTCTTATCCCCACATCTCTGTATCCCCCACTCTCTCCCTCCCCCTCTCCAGGACTATGACCTGAGTCAGCTGCAGCAGCCCGACGCGTTGGAGCCAGAGATGGTAAAGGTGGGAATCAGGCGTATGGACGAGAGACCCCTCCACCAGGACCACCTGTACCCCCTCCGCTCTGCTGCACCCCACCCAGGAGATATAGGAGACTTCATCCATGAGGTAGCTACGGAGTGTGTGTTTTTCTGTTGGGGGAGTGGGGGTTGTGTGTGTATGTGTGTTAATGCTTGTGTGTGCATGACTGTGTGTGTGTGTGTATGTGACTCACTGTGTGACACAGAAGGAGAGGGAGCCCTCCCTGCCTCTGTGTAATTCTTAATTAGCTTTGCTAACAGTGCAGATTAACGTGGTACAGACATGGGCAGGCCCGGCTGGCTAATTTAAGGTTTAGTTTAGTTTATTAGGATCCCCATTAGCTATTGCACATGCAGCAGCTACTCTTCCTGGGATCCACATAAAACATACAAATACATGACAAAGTACAGAATAAAAAAAATATTATTTAGACACTATCATATTGTATATACATATTCATATTCTTATATACAGTTCAGTTAAATTAGATCTTTAGACAGAGGAGAGGCGCTGTGATATGTTTTTTTATTTGTTTTTTTAAGCTAAACTTGCTTTTTACCTGAGTAACCTCTTGTGGCAGAGCATCCCATGATGACATGGCTCTATAGATAACTGAGCGATGCATTAAATCTGTTTTTGGTCTGGGTTATGTGAAGAAACCCATAGTGGCATGTCTGCTGGGGTATGTCTGAAGTGTATGCAAATAGATTAGACAAGTGGTTGGGCATTGTCAACACATGAATGTTTCTTAAAAAGACTAGAAGAGAAGTAGTCAAATAAAATACAATTTTATTGGTCGCATACACATATTTACAGTTGAAGTCGGAAGTTTACATGCACTTAGGTTGGAGTCATTAAAACTCGTTTTTCAACCACTCCACAAATTTCTTGCTAACAAACTATAGTTTTGGCAAGTCGGTTAGGACATCTACTTTGTGCATGACACAAGTACTTTTTCCAACAATTGTTTACAGACAGATTATTTCACTTATAATTCACTGTATCACAATTCCAGTGGGTCAGAAGTTTACATACACTAAGTTGACTGTGCCTTTAAACAGCTTGGAAAGTTCCAGAAAATAATGTCATGGCTTTAGAAGCTTCTGATAGGCTAATTGACATCATTTGACATCAGGTGTACCTGTGGATGTATTTCAAGGCCTACCTTCAAACTCAGCATTGCCTCTTTGCTTGACATCATGGGAAAATCAAAAGAAATCAGGCAAGACCTCAGAAAAACAATTGTAGACCTCCACAAGTCTGGTTCATCCTTGGGAGCAATTTCCAAATGCCTGAAGGTACCACATTCATCTGTACAAACAATAGTACGCAAGTATAAACACCATGGGACCACGCAGCCATCATACCGCTCAGGAAGGAGACACGTTCTGTCTCCTAGAGATGAACGTACTTTGGTGCGAAAAGTGCAATCAATCCCAGAACAACAGCAAAGGACCTTGTGAAGATGCTGGAGGAAACAGGTACAAAAGTATCTATATCCACAGTAAAACAAGTCCTATATCGACATAACCTGAAAGGCCGCTCAGCAAGGAAGAACCCACTGCTCCAAAACTGCCATAAAAAAGCCAGACTACGGTTTGTAGATTGTACTTTTTGGAGAAATGTCCTTTGGTCTGATGAAACAAAAATAGAACTGTTTGGCCATAATGACCATCGTTATGTTTGGAGGAAAAAGGAGGATGCTTGCAAGCCGAAGAACACCATCCCAACCGTGAAGCACGGGGGTGGCAGCATCATGCTGTGGGGGTGCTTTGCTGCAAGATGGACTGGTGCACTTCACAAAATAGATGGCAGCATGAGGAAGGAAAATGATGTGTATATATTGAAGCAACATCTCAAGACATCAGTCACGAAGTTAAAGCTTGGTCGCAAATGGTCTTCCAAATGGACAATGACCCCAAGCATACTTCCAAAGTTGTGGCAAAATGGCTTAAGGACAACAAAGTCAAGGTATTGGAGTGGCCATCACAAAGCCCTGACCTCAATAATACAGAAAATTTGTGGGCAGAACTGAAAAAGCGTGTGCGAACAAGGAGGCCTACAAACCTGACTCAGATACACCAGCTCTGTCAGGAGGAATGGGCCAAAATTCACCCTCCTGAGGTTGAAGAGACGCTGTTGCGCCTTCTTCACCACACTGTCTGTGTGGGTGGACCATTTCAGATTGTCAGTGATGTGTATGCCGAGGAACTTGAAGCTTTTCACCTTCTCCACTGCGGCCCAGTCGATGTGGATATGGGTGTGCTCCCTATGCTGTCTCCTGAAGTCCACGATCAGCTCCTTTGTTTTGTTGACGTTGAAGGAGAGGTTATTTCTCTTGCACCACTCCGCCAGGGACCTCACCTCCTCCCTGTAGGCTGTCTCGTCATTGTTGGTAATCAGGCCTACTACTGTTGTGTCGTCTGCAAACTTGATGATTGAATTAGAGACGTGCGTGTGCATGCAGTCATGGGTGAACAGGGAGTACAGGAGGGGGCTGAGCACGCACCCTAGTGGGTCCCTGTGTTGAGGATCAGCATAGTGGAGGTGTTGTTGCCTACCTTCACCACCTGGGGGCAGCCCGTCAGGAAGTCCAGGACCCAGTTGCACAGGGTGAGGTTCAGACCCCAGGGCCCGAGCTTAATGATGAGCTTGGAGGGTACTATGGTGTTGAAGGTTGAGCTGTAGTCAATGACCAGCATTCTTACATAGCTATTCCTCATGTCCAGATGGTATAACACGCTTAAATGTCTTACTCACGTCAGCCACTTAGAACGAGAGCACACAGTCCTCGGAAGCGGAGGCACTGTGTTTTCCTCGAAGCGGGCGAAGAAGGGGTTTAACTTGTCCGGTAGTAAGACGTCGGTGTCCGCGACGGGGCTGGTGTTCCCTTTATAATCCGTGATTGTCTGAAGTCCCTGCCACATACGTCTCGTGTATGAGCCGTTGAATTGCGATTCTACTTTGTCTCTACTGACGTTTTGGCTGTTTGATTGTCTTACGGAGGGCATATTCCCAGTCACCTTGTCGTGGTTAAATACGGACGTTCGCGCTTTTAGTTTTGCATGAATGATGCCATCTATCCATGGTTTTTGGTTTGGATAGGGAATGGTGGGAACAACATCCCCTATACACTTCCTTATGAACTCAGTCAGTGTCAGTGTGTACGTCAGTGTTATTCTCAGAGGCAACCCAGAACATATCACAGTCCGCATGATCAAATCAATCTTGAAGCATGGATTCCGATTGGTCAGACCAGCATTTGAACAGTCCTTACCACGGGTACTTCCTGTTTGAATTCCTGCCTATAGGAATGGAGAAGCAGAATGGAGGCGTGATCTGATTTGCCGAAGAGAGGGCGGGGGAGGGCCCTGTAGCCGTCCCGAAAGGGAGAATAGTAATGGTCGAGAGTTTTTGATGCGCAAGCAGCGCAGGCAATGTGTTGGTTAATCTTCGGTAGCGTTGTCCTCAAATTTGCTTTATTAAAGTCCCCAGTTGCAATAAATGCGGCCTCAGGATATGCGGTTTCTAGTTTGCACAAAGTCCAGTGTAGTTCCTTGAGAGCCGTCGTGGTATCGGCTTGAGGGGGAATATAAATGGCTGTGACGATGACCGAAGAGAATTCTCTCAAGGTCGTCATTTGATTGTGAGGTATTCTAGGTTGGGTGAACAAAAGGACTTGAATTCCTGTACGCTACCACAATCACACCATGAGTAGTTAATCATGATTAGTTAATCATGAAACCTCCGCCTTTCTTTTTCCCTGAGATTTCTTTATTCCTGTCTGCGCAATGTACTGAGAACCCAGCTGGTTGTATGGACGGGGACAGTATATCCGGAGAGAGCCATGATTCTGTGAAACAGAGTATGTTACAGTCTCTGATGTCTCTCTGGAAGGAGATGTTCGCCCTGAGCTCGTCTACTTTATTGTCCAGGGAATGAACATTATCGAGTAATATACTCGGAAGCGGTGGATGGTTTGCACGCCTCCTGAGTCGGATTAAAGTCCACTCCGCGTACCTCTTCTCCATGAACAAAGGATCCAATTCAGGAAAGTCGTATTTCTGGTCGAAATACTGGTGAGTTACCGCTGCTCTGATATCTAAAAGTTATTTCCGGCTGTATGTAATAATGCAAAGAACGTTCTAAGCTAATAATGTGAGAAATAACACACAAAAAAAATGTAATACTGCCAAGCTGCTTAGGAGCCAGGAACCAGGCGACCATGTCTATCGGCGCTGTCAATTTCTCCTCAACCCTCAACCATGAAAGACTATCATGCATTTTTTTTTTATGTTAGGTCTGTGCATTTAAGGGCAAGGTGTGCTGCTTTGTTTTGAGCCAGCTGCAACTTTGCTAGGTCTTTCTGTTTTGCACCTGACCATATTATCGGACAGTAATCGAGACCAGAGCCTGAACAACTAGTACAGTTGATCTTTGTGTAAAAAATGCAGAACATCTCTTTAGAACATACATACCTCTCCCCATCTTCACAACAGCTTTGTCAATATGACTTGACCATGATAACTGACCATCCAATGTTACTCCTAGGAGTTCAACTTCTTCAACATGTTCAATGGTCACACCCTTTATGCAAAGTAAATCCATTGAGTTTCATTAATCCCAGAGAGAGACTAGCTTTTGCCTCCAGCTACTACAGTCAGCTATACAACAGAATGGAATAACAGCTCAATCTCAGTTAGTCTACTGAGGTGGTAACTGTAATATGTGTTGAATCTATGTGAGTTTATATCTATATCTAGACATGGATCATGCTTGCCGAGCGGTTTATACCTGTCTTTCAGTTGATGAAGTTGTGCTTCCTACGCTGTGTATGTATGTGTGTGTGTGTGTCACTAGGTTAGGCAGGCAGGATAGAGATGTCTGCCAAACACAGCTCTGAATAATGAGGTGAGCTGTCATACATGGCAAGCTGATCTAGACAGCTTAATCTAGCAGACATGACAAGCCGATGCTTCTTCCACTGCCTCACTCCTCAAGTCAATCATATTAAGGAGACAGTTGGGGGTATGGCATGCAGAAATCCCCAAAACATGTATATAGAGCTTCAGCTTATCAGATTTGTTTTATTAATTTTAGCACTGAGACAAGACATCAGTCAATAATAACACTTAAAGAGAAAGTTATTATAATAAATTCTGTCAGCTGTGGTGTGGTAGGGCGCAGGCGCGTGTGTGTACGTGCGTGCGTGTAATCTGCTGAATCTCCTCAGAGAGACGACCCAGCATCTGTCCAGCCTGACCTAAATCCTCCTCTCTTCTCTCCTCCTCCCTCCATAATCCCTCCTTCTTCTCCTCTCCCCTTGCTCTCCTGCTCCCTATATCTCATTCATTCTATATCTCTCACTCCCTCTGTTTCTCTCTCTTCTGCTTCTTTTTTCCTGCTTTTTCTCTCTTTCTGGCTCGTATTTATTCTCTCCCCTTACCTCTCTCCACCTCTTTCTCTTTTCCCTATTTTCTTTCTCTTTTCCCCTTCTTTCTCGTTATCTCTCCTTTACTCTCTCTCTTAACCTATCTCTCCCTCATTCTCTCTCTCTTTCGCTCTCTCTCAACCCTCATCTATCCTCTACCCCTCCTCTTCCCTCCCCAGGGTCTGAAGGCAGCTGATAACGACCCGACGGCGCCCCCCTACGACAGCCTGCTGGTGTTTGACTATGAGGGCAGCGGATCCACCGCCGGCTCCCTCAGCTCCCTTCACTCGTCCTCCTCCGGCGGAGACCAGGACTACGACTACCTCAGTGACTGGGGCCCGCGCTTCCGCAAGCTGGCAGACCTCTACGGAGGAGGGGACGACTAGGACTAGCCCCTCGCTGGGGCCGGAGAGGGGTCTGGAAAGGGGCAGTGGGTGGGTGGGTGGTGGGGTGGGGGGGGGGGGGGGGGTGTGAGTGGCACTTTAAAAAATTCATGGGACATTGAAGGAGTGCTGGTTGTGAAGATACTTTTATTTTGGCGGACTGGAACAGAGGATCAGAAACAAAATGGAGTACGTTGGTGTGGCAACTGCTATCTTAGCCTGCTAGCATGCAGGATCATTGAGGTTAGCGTGGGGTGTTAGACCACATGCTAAGGGTCGCTAACAGATCGAGTACGTTTGTGTGGCGACTGCTAGCTTAGCCTGTTAGCATACAGGCTAAATGAGGCTAGCGGAGTGTTAGCCCACATGCTTAGGGAAACTTAACGCTCAGAGGAGAGCATTGGAAGGAAACCGACCGTTGGTACTTTGACTGGTGGTTAACAGTGAATGAGAGAGCCTGGGCTCGCGCTCAGCGGTTAGCGATGCTAAAGACGCTCAGTTACACTTGAATCTCACAGTACAGAAGCACTGGGGTAAAACGTGCCTTTTTGTACATTCGTTTGATTCTGTTTAAGTTTTCTGTTCATCATGACTTTTAAGGTCCTGACTCTTGCTGGGATTTCAGGCTGTAAGAGAGCGGATGTTTAAAATGTGGAACGCACGCTTCGCCACGTGTGTGTAGTGTGTCAAAGTGTGTGTGTTCGGGTTACACCTCACTGCCAGAGTGTGTACGCCATCGTCATTGCCATGGAAACACACAGGATGAACACTCCCCATTGTTGGATCGAGAGCATTGAGTGAAGACATGTACAGTAAACTATAAAAGACTCTAGATAGTTTCACTGTTTTTCTTTGTTTTGTTTTAAGCTTTTTTTCACATTCTAACTTATGCAGCTGGTTGCTAACTAAAACGAGTCACCAGTCCTACATATTGTAGCAGAGATATTGTTTTGTTACTCTGAGGTTTGGTCGGTGGAGTCGACCAAAACCAGAGTTGGGGTAAATTCCATTTCATTTTCAGTCAATTCAGGAAGTACATTCCAATTCCAATTTTCCTCAATGCTTCTCTTTGAGAAAAATGTGGAATTGGAATTTCAGTTTACTTCCTGAATTGACTAACTTAAAAATGAATTGACCCCAACTCTGACTAAACCAATACGACGATCATGATGAATATGTTGATTCTGTCCATTCATCTGCCTTAGTGTTCTTCTGGTACTCTTCTCTGATTGGCTACTCACTGTAAACACAAATATGTACAGATTGTATCTTATTTTCTGTTGTTGTTATTTTTTGAGCATGGTCTCTGAAACAAATGCTACTGTCCAGAACCTTGTATATGTATAATTTTGATTACAGATTAAACGTTTTTTGCATGTTTTTACCTTTTCATTATACCAGAAGGATTCCAAATCTTTGCAAAAACATACACACACATGCACATGCGCACGCAGGCACACACACACACACACACACACACACACACACACACACACACACACACACACACACACACAGACACACACACAATGTTTGTTTTACTATCCTTGTGGGGAACAAAAATGGATTCCCATTCAAATTCCTATTTTCCCCTAAACCTAACCCTTAACCCCAAATCCCTAAACCTAACCTTAACACCTAACCTTAACTCATAAACCTAACACCTAATCCCTAAACCTAAACCTGTGGGGACCAGTGAAATGGTCCCACTTGTCCGAATGTTCCTTGTGAGGAATTATGTCCCCCACAAGGATAGTAAAACCAAAAACACACACACACAGGGAGAGGGACACTCCCTTCCCTAACCCCAAACCAGGGGTTCCATCTTTTTTACAGGGCTATCTTTTCTCTTTCCTCTCTCCTCTCCATCCTTCCATCCCCAGGGCGCACTGTCTCTCCATTATAGACAGTAGTGTGGTGAGGATCGAGAAGTAGGCGTGGGCTGTTAATATGTGACTGTGGTTTGGAGTTTAGGTTGATAATGCCTTAGGCGGCATACAAACCACCACTGAATTATCACGCTATACACAGTACCAGCCCCCATCCTACTCCTCCTCAGTGTTTGAGAGAGAGGGAGTGTGTGTGTGAGAGAGAGCTTGTGTGTGTGTGTGTGTGTGTGTGTGTGCGTGCGTGGACTCGCCAGTAGCTGGTTGGAGGTTGAATATGACATTGATCAACAGATACCGGACTGGAGAACAGCGTGTGTGGGCTGTTCTCCAGTCCGGTATCTGTTTATCAATGTCATATTCAACCTCCAGCCAGATACTGGCAAGTCCTATTTTTAGACTACAGACACACAGGGAGAGTCCAGAGTAAAGTCTGTGGTGTTTCTCTCTCTCTCTCTCTCTCTCTCTCTCTCTCTCTCTCTCATCACCCTTTTCCTATTATCATACCTGTTCTCATTTTCTTATTCCTATGTCAACCAGTGGAGGACCATCCTCCTCAGTGAATTTCATTTAAATTGTGAAACATTTAAAAAGTTATCCTTTTTAGATAAGGCTATACTAAATATATTCACGTCACCAAATAATTGATTAAAACACACTGTTTTGCAATGAAGGTCTACAGTAGCCTTAACAGCACGCTCTGGGGTAGCACCATGGTATAGCCAGAGGACAGCTAGTTTCCTAGGAGGATCATGGTTTAAACCCCCTTCAATAGAATTACACAATCATTATGACAACTTCCGGAGGACGTCCTCCAACCTATCAGAGCTCTTGCAGCATGAACTGACATGTTGTCCACCCAATCAAAGGATCAGAGAATGAATCTACTACTGAAAGCATAAGCTACAGCTAGCTAGCACTGCAGTGCATAAAATACAGTGGGGGAAAAAGTATTTAGTCAGCCACCAATTGTGCAAGTTCTCCCACTTAAAAAGATGAGAGAGGCCTGTAATTTTCATCATAGGTACACGTCAACTATGACAGACAAATTGAGAAAAAATTATCCAGAAAATCACATTGTAGGATTTTTTATGAATTTATTTGCAAATTATGGTGGAAAATAAGTATTTGGTCACCTACAAACAAGCACGATTTCTGGCTCTCACAGACCTGTAACTTCTTCTTTAAGAGGCTCCTCTGTCCTCCACTCGTTACCTGTATTAATGGCACCTGTTTGAACTTGTTATCAGTATAAAAGACACCTGTCCACAACCTCAAAAAGTCACACTCCAAACTCCACTATGGCCAAGACCAAAGAGCTGTCAAAGGACACCAGAAACAAAATTGTAGACCTGCACCAGGCTGGGAAGACTGAATCTGCAATAGGTAAGCAGCTTGGTTTGAAGAAATCAACTGTGGGAGCAATTATTAGGAAATGGAAGACATACAAGACCACTGATAATCTCCCTCGATCTGGGGCTCCACGCAAGATCTCACCCCGTGGGGTCAAAATGATCACAAGAACGGTGAGCAAAAATCCCAGAACCACACAGGGGGACCTAGTGAATGACCTGCAGAGAGCTGGGACCAAAGTAACAAAGCCTACCATCAGTAACACACTACGCCGCCAGGGACTCAAATCCTGCAGTGCCAGACGTGTCCCCCTGCTTAAGCCAGTACATGTCCAGGCCCGTCTGAAGTTTGCTAGAGTGCATTTGGATGATCCAGAAGAGGATTGGGAGAATGTCATATGGTCAGATGAAACCAAAATATAACTTTTTGGTAAAAACTCAACTCGTCGTGTTTGGAGGACAAAGAATGCTGAGTTGCATCCAAAGAACACCATACCTACTGTGAAGCATGGGGGTGGAAACATCATGCTTTGGGGCTGTTTTTCTGCAAAGGGACCAGGACGACTGATCCGTGTAAAGGAAAGAATGAATGGGGCCATGTATCGTGAGATTTTGAGTGAAAACCTCCTTCCATCAGCAAGGGCATTGAAGATGAAACGTGGCTGGGTCTTTCAGCATGACAATGATCCCAAACACACCGCCCGGGCAACGAAGGAGTGGCTTCGTAAGAAGCATTTCAAGGTCCTGGAGTGGTCTAGCCAGTCTCCAGATCTCAATCCCATAGAAAATCTTTGGAGGGAGTTGAAAGTCTGTGTTGCCCAGCGACAGCCCCAAAACATCACTGCTCTAGAGGAGATCTGCATGGAGGAATGGGCCAAAATACCAGCAACAGTGTGTGAAAACCTTGTGAAGACTTACAGAAAACGTTTGACATGTGTCATTGCCAACAAAGGGTATATAACAAAGTATTGAGAAACTTTTGTTATTGACCAAAAACTTATTTTCCACCATAATTTGCAAATAAATTCATTAAAAATCCTACATTGTGATTTTCTGGGAAAAAAATTCTCATTTTGTCTGTCATAGTTGACGTGTACCTATGATGAAAATGACAGGCCTCTCTCATCTTTTTAGGTGGGAGAACTTGCACAATTAGTGGCTGACTAAATACTTGTTTTCCCCACTGTATGGTGTGGAGGTGACTCAGAGAGTGAAACACAGTTCTAGCTACACCATCTATACAAAAGTTTGTGGACAACCCTTCAAATTAGTGGATTTGGCTATTTCAGCCACACCCGTTGCTGACAGGTGTATAGAATCGAGCACACAGCCATGCAATCTCCATAGACAAACATTGGCAGTAGAATGGCCCGTACTGAAAAGCTCTGTGACTTTAAAGTGGCACCGTCATAGGATGCCACCTTTCAACAAGTCAGTTCATCAAATTTCTTCCCTGCTAGAGCTACCCCGGTCAACTGTACGTGCTGTTATTGTGAAGTGGAAACGTCAAGGAGCAACAACGGCTGAGCCGCGAAGTGGTAGACCACACAAGCTCACAGAACGGGACCGGCGAGTGCTGAAATGCGTAGTGCGTAAAAATAGTCTGCCCTCGGTTGCAACATTCACTACCGAGTTCCAAACTGCCTCTGGAAACAACGTCAGCACAAGAACTGCTCGTCGGGAGCTTCATGAAATGGGTTTCCATGGCCGAGCAGCCGCACACAAACCTAAGATCACCATGTGCAATTGCCAAGCGTCAGGT